AAGCTATCACCGTTTATTATACCTTCGAAAAATCAAAGGCGAGCTTAAAGCTTTTGCAAATCTCTGATTGGTGGTAAGCAATATGATATAATAAGAAATCACAATGAAATAAAGAAATTAGTTACAAAAGAGCAATTAAGTGGTTGAATAACAAATTGTTAACAATATAGGTAAGGTATAGGTCGGCAGGTTGTGGCAACATCAGCGGAAAAAGTGTATTAAGTCCAGCTGGCCGTTAGGGTGATACGTATAAATAACGTAATTGTATTTACTGCGTAATATTAGCAATAACCGAGTGGAAGTTTTAGTTTCAAGTTAAGAAAATAAATCAAAAAAGTTTACTGTTTGTGAAGAAATTTCGTAAGCAAAATAGCTTTATCGACACTGGAATATAAAATTTAGGGGCAATTAAAATTTTAGTATTTTTTTTTTAAATTTGAAAATTATAAAAAACCAGACATTTTTTTTCAAACAAAATATTTCAAAATATTCAAAAACAGAAAAGTTAAGAATTGACATTTCAAAAAATAAACAAAATGTATATCAAAACTTTTTCTCATTCTACACGTGATTCAGCGTGCTTCCTTCAGCGGAGCGTGCTTCCTCTCATGAAAGAAGTGTTTGTAACCATAATGTCAAAAATACTGTTTTATGTTTTTCTTATGAATTTTCCGTTTACAATTTGATGATTTTGTATTGTAACTTTTGACAAATTGTTGTTTTTGGCCTGTCGGCACAACTTCTTATAATTAAATCATGATGCGACATGATTTAAGAGCAACAGGCACAATACGAAAGACCTTTATTTACGAATTTACTCACGTCTTACGTAAATAACTGTGGATCAAAGGTAACAATAATTTCACTCTCGAAACGCCAAAAGGCGGCCACACAAATAAGTTCTAGGAAGTTTTATGTTAAATCTATAAATATTTCATAATTTTGTCCTTTTATTTGACATTTCAAAAAAAACACAAAAACAATTTCACGTGTACGCATAAATCACTAACAATCGTACGTTTCACAGCAAGCGGGGTAAGGCTTCGAGTTGTCTTGCGGCGTGTGCTTGCAACTTGGTGGCGCGAAAATGGACGGGCAACTACAATAAAATCGAAAAAATAACAATAAATGGTAACGATAAATGGCGGAAAAGAGCCGCAGCAGCAACATACGTTTTGGCAGAGATTTCGCCGGGTCCATCGCAGGTGTACTGGCTGCACTCGCCTTTTATTTGAAAACTTTCGCCCTTATTTGCCGTTTGTCCCCTATACTCGCAATCGGCTTTCGTAGAATTAAAGGAGAAACAAATTTTATGATATAAAACAACTCGCCTATTTCCGGCAATGCGCCGTCGCGTCGTTTCACTTACCGGCCACTGCGCAGTCCAGCAATACAGCTAACACCAAAGCCAACAACAATGCAACAACACCTACAAACTTCATAGCTACTTTTGGCGATTTCTACGGCAAAAACTATGTACACACGACAAAACACAAAGAACGACTGTGCGCTGCCGGCTTAATGTCAGCGCTTATAAATACTTTTCGATTTGTTGTTTGTTGTTAATATTTGTTTTCGTTTCTAATTTTTAATACTTAATATTTTTGTTGCCTGCTCAAACAGTACAACTATCAGTGCGATTCTGTTCGTTTACAATTACGAAGGAGATTGCACAACAACTGGAACTGGTTCGCAGCTACTTAGGATGGTGGGGTGAGGGCGGTTAGTATTTTTTTAAAAAACAAACACACAGATTTTGGAGGCTTGCGTTGCTCCTAAAAGTGATTTTATTATTTTTTTAGCCTTTCTGTTCATAATTATTAATTACCCGGGGTTTTTTACTCACGTCAGTGACATGTTTGTACATGCAATTAAGATTTGTTTATTTTCTAAATTCCTGATTTTTTATTAATAGATGTTTTCTACAAACACATACGAAGTTAAAATAATCAACACATTAAATTTGTTTTAATCGGCACATTTAATTTGGGTGCAGCAATCAGGATAAGGCTTACTATAATCGGGTGGCTGCTCAATGCAACCATGTCGTAGCAGATAGCGGTCACAGCTGTAAGTGAAAAAAAATATTAACATGTGAGGAAGAAGCAAAAAAGTTGACATTTAAAAAAAAAAATTATAAAAATAGAGGTTTTGTATTTTCGTTGTTTCTTGCCCGGGTTTCTTTGCGTGCTAAAGGGCGCCACATTAATCGAAGGCTATCGAATGTCTTATAAACTTTTGTGAGCAACTAATTCATATGAGAAATGTTAACGCGGTAGACAAGTAAATCTCGAAATAGACAACACACCGACAATATAGTTTATATATTAACAAGAGACGCCTTGCGTATAAGTCCAAGTAGGCTAGAAGACTCACTTATAAAAAGCGCAATTAAAATTTAGATGATTAAAGTTGAAAAAATATATAATAAAATATGGCGTAAATATGAGACCAAATCAAAATCTAGAAATCGGCGCGTACTCTTGTTTTCGACATTAAATTAACGAAAAGGTTATTTTGACACGCGAACTTTATGAAAATTAATTTTGCAGGTCGCAAAGAGTGCAGTTAACAGAGTAAACGCGAAGAGATCTAGTTGAAATGACACAGAAAGTCAGCTGCTCAAATTAGGACTATATGGTAAGTTTTATATATTAAAATAGATCAACTTACTGCTTTATCACCAGCACATAATCATAGCGGCAAGATACCGTTATGCATTGAAATTCTAAATCTGTGGGATACAGGGTGTCATTGACCGGCACCGCTAGTTTGAATTCCTCGTAGTAACAGTGGTTCGGCAGCGCTGAATTGCGGCGCCAAAATTCGTTAGTAAAAAGTAAGGAATTAATTAAATAGTTTAATTAAAAAATTAATTGGAATGCATTATTTGAAATGGATTTGCTGTTATAGTTTATGAAATGAAAAATCGAATACTTTTTGAAAAAAAAAATTTTAAATGCTTAGTCAGAAAAGCTGCTAAATTAAAAAAAAAAGCGAAAATTGTAAACTTTCGAATACTCAAATTTGTCGAAAATATTTTAGAAATTGAAAAGTTTTATTGATAAGAGATTTGAGATTTCATGCATACATTTTTTTTTTGAAAAGTGTTGTATAAATATTATGTCAGAAACAATTTATAAAAGATTAAATAAAAAAATATTTAAGAAAAAATTTTTAAAAAATATTCAAAATAAAATTTTTAAAAAATATTCAAAATAAAAATTAAAAAAAATTTTAAAAAAATTAAAAGAATATTAAAAAAAGCATGCAAGTATTAGGTCAAATTTACCGTTAATGCCGATGTGTGTAATGCATGTATAAGTACATACATATATGTATATTTAATAACTATATGTATGTAAAAGTAATAGTAACATTTCTAACTGATTTACCGGAATATTTGGTGTTGCCATAATACTGCGTAGAGAATGTCCAAGTCAACGGCAATGTTGTGAAAATGAGAAAAACGAGCACCGGCGCCATTTTGTATTTATTTCTTTAACTGTTAACTGTAATAAAAAAGAAAATGAAGATTATAAATATTTCTATAAGGTAATTCAATAAGGCGCAGGCGTCTATTTAAGAACACTGCAATTAAGAAAATAAGAAGAAATAGTTATGAGCTTAAGCTTAATGAGTTGAAAACTGAAATTTGTTTGTCAATATATTTGGACTCGACTAGAGTTTTTTTTACAATTTCAACGCCCTACCCTGCGCTGGCACATGAAACATCATCGAATTTACGATTTTCTCGCACAAAAAACCACGCACATGTTTGGAGTAACATTGGTTCTTAAAAAGATGCTTATAAATGCAACCCTGAAGCTTTATACATAATGATTATAGTATTCGTTGATGGATTGTTTCCCTAGGAATATTAATTATTATATCTATATTTTACATAATCATTTATTTATTTTTATTTATTTCCTACCCCCTCGCTTACACACACACACACACAAAAAATATATAGTAAAAACCCGGTCACAAGATTGATTACTTTAGCGTTAATGTTTGTTGTAGTTCACGACCGGTGCAAGTATAGAAATGTCGGCGGTGCCGCTGCGCTTGCGAAGGAGTTGCGAGTGTTACTAAATTTCGTTGTGTAAATTTTGATGATCGTAAGAGCGTAGTATAAAGTTAATATTGATTTAAAATTAAGAATTTTACAGCTTTCCAGTGCATGACTAATAATCGGCGCTTAATTGGCATGGGGATTATCATAACAATGAATTGAGAGGCGTTCTTGGCGCGTCTGATGAGGCTTGCGAGTTACGACGCCGACGTCGACTGAGACGGCTTCAAGTTCAAACTGCGTGATATTATTTATTCCAATATTCAATATTGTGTTGAAAATAACTCTTATTTGCTGCCGAATAGTTTTGTAGACATGTAATCAAAACAAAAATATATTTTATTAGTTGGATGCGAGAATGAATGATTAAGTGGAGAAAATTAATTTAGAGAGCAAGAAATAGCAAAATTATGTATGTATATACTTTTAGAATAGCAGGGATACACTAAGACCCGGAAAAATAAAAAAAATTATTCAGAAATTATGAATCAATAATTATACGAAATTGAAAACAGCACAAAAAAATTAATAAGAGGAACTTAAAAAAAATTAAATTAAAAAGTTAGATAATTAAAAAAAATATTAAAAAAAGACTTAAAAATAATTTAAAAAAAAATCAAGAATAAACAAAAAATTAAAAAATAGAAAACATAAGAGAAGTAAAAATATTAAATTAAATTTAAAAATTTTTTTGATATTAATTTAAATTTTAATTATAAACTAAATATGGAGCATAAAAATTAAGAAGTTATTGCAACCTTTAATCTTGAGAAGCTCAGAAACCTTTGCGCTTATCTCTTTTAACTCTAATAAAAAATGACGGAAAGCATTGAAAGGCTATTAATCTGTGCTACATATATTCATACGTTCATATGTACAAACAATAATACATACTTTGAGTTAACATATGTATGTGTGCTTGTTTACAGGTCCAGCAGAACAATTATTTCGTTAAACGACAGTTTAACAACTGCGCTCATTCAAAGACATATTTTCGAAAATCAAGAAATAATATTAATAATAAAAACATAATTACTAAGAAAAACTTATAAACAAGAAATAAAATTCCATATAAATGTATGCATACACACATACATGTGTACATGCATTATGTATGCCAGTGGGCATAAATTAATCATACAGTTAGTAATCTTATCAGCATATATTAAAATTAATTTACTTTAATGCACTGAAATCATGCGGCATACACATACATATAGCATATATATACATACGTTATCACAGGGGTCGGTAACCCAGCCGCCAAGTTCCATATGAGGGCAGCTGGCTAGCCAATTATAAACGATATGACTTAAGAACGAATCATAACGGCTTAAATAGTTCACACTAATCCACTAAGATAACACGGAGTGGGTAGCCAGTTCCCCTGTTCGCGTTTCTTTATAGAAGCTCGAAAATTAACTAAGCACTTGACACTTAAAATCGCATTACATCGACTGATTTATATCATATGATGTCTACGGAAGGGAAGGGACCAGCATTACTTATATAGGCGAGCAAGCCAATCTGTATTTAGGGTCAGATCACACGAACCGGCTGATAGCACATGATCTGATCGACACATCACGGAATGGGTGGCTAGCCCAGCTACCAGCGTTTCTTATATAGGCAGGCTGACCACCTGGCAATGAAAATGTCACGGTATGTATGGCAGCTGTGCTAGTCTGGAAAACAACACATCCACTGAGTCTAAAATCAGTGAAATAGTTTTTAATTACTCAACGAATTTCGCGCGGCGTATTTCAATTTCCCGCGTTACTTTTGACGTCAAGTGCCGTTATGTGTGTACTTGAAATAAAACTGACATGAACCGCAAAGCGTAGCTTAACTGCAATTTAAACTTTTTTTTGGTATAGGCTTATGTGGTGTTTTGCAGTATATTGACCTAAGTTTAAACAAATAAGAAAAACAACTTGAAAACACAACAACAAGAGCACACACAGGTGTCTTCGAGGTGCGGAATTATGGCAGATAATGCAGTATTTTTACAAATTGCTCAATAACATAACACCGTATGTCTATTTGTTTATAAAAATCTGCGCATTCTCAAGCTTGTGTGAGTGTGTGTGTTTATGGCGTGTTTAATTAATGCAAAACTCTTGTCAGCTTGCCATTGTTAACTCATTTAATTTGCATTGAAGTCGTGAACGCTAAGCGGACAAGCGTTGTCGCCACTGATCTTAAGCTAGTTTATTTTGATTTTTATTTGCGCTTTTATTGTGCTTACATTTCTTGCTGTTTATTTTACGAATTCCCCAAATATTACTTATTGTTTTCTTATTTCTTATATATATATTTTTTAATTTTTCACGTTAAATAATTGAAGAGCTATAAATAAGTTAGGATTTCAGAGAATTAAGCACTTGACTAAATTTTTTGTATCAGGCGACCTTCAAGGGTTTGAACGGTGACGCAAACTTGTCAGCAAAGCTTACTTTTAAAGCATACGATCTGAGATATCGGCTCATATAAATTTACTATCTCGGCTGTGGCCACACCTAGCAAAGTAATTTGCATTACGATTTTTGGTAATAACTCCAGTCTGTGCCTGCTCTATATACAATTACACACAAGTATACAAAAGGTTGTTCTTGGATCTACTGAGGCCTCTTTGAAGTATGAAAATCGGACTGCAGGTAGACCACGAATGAAGTATGGTAACAGCATGAAATTGCTGACTCACGGAAGTATGTTAGAGAACTGCAAAAAAACCATCACGCATATTAAATATTTAAATTACACGTTGGCTGACTTTGTTATAAATATTAAAAGGTTTCTTCAGAAGCTTTCAAGGAATTTATAGTTATTTTTGTGGCAAAATTAAACCGAATTTTTTTTGCCTATAGAAACTTAGGGTCAATTAGTATTACAGCGAATTTGTTACGCATTTATAGGGTTCAACTTTATTGACACAAGCAGCGAGATTTGTATAGGGTTTATTAAATAATTCTGCATTCTTTGCTTTCCTTAAAACAACTCGGGCTGAAAAAAAAAACTCTCACATATTCGATTCAATTTCGTCACTTTCGCTTTCCAACGCTTTTACAAACACTGGGTTCTGACACGCTCATACAATTATGAGCCTGAACTCAAACACGCTTACATTTCTGGTTCATTTTCAATGAGATGCAGCTTTTCGCTTGAACTTAATTAATTAAACAATGTGTAAAGACGGCAAACAATGCCCGGCGAAGGCGGCACAACTGGATAAACAAACACAAAAACAAAAGCAAAAGCAATCACTGTCATAAAGCAAAAATATCAATAAGAGCCGTGTGCTGGAATCAAAACTAGAGCAAGAAGAAGAAGAAGACAAAAATTAAAAAGATCTGCGTATAAATCTCCCGTAAGAGTAGTTTGTCGTGAAAAAACGGTATGTACATATATATGCTGAAAAGAGTGTGTGTTTGGCTGTGCGCAGACATCAAGTGTTTGTATGCAAGTCGGTCTGCTTGACTGACTTATTGTCTTCCACAGACTACACGCTACGCCTACAAGTGGTCCATAATTAATTTTATATAAAAGCAACAACAATGGTTTTTAAAGCGTTCAGTCGCGAAAATAACGTCGCAAAGCAAAGTGTACGCGAGCTTAAAGTGTTTGAATAGTTTTTTTTTGAAACTATTGCGAAGGTGTGCGAAGTGAAGAAATCGTAAAAAATTGAAAACAATAATTAAAAAGAAAAAAAATCAAAGTGCGAAAATAATTGAAAGAGTATACGAAAAATTATAAATGTATCGGGATAGTATCAAATAAATCGCGATAAATCGTTTTGCTGGAAATAATTTGCTCATTAAAAATCATGCAAGCCACTTTGCTGTGCGTTTTGTTATTGGGTGTTTTGGCTTGTCATAGCGTTTCGGGGGATTTACGCTACCGCGGCAATGCAGTACATCCAGGTGTGTGAGAGCAAGAAAATTAATTATGTGCGAATGTAGAAAATAATATAAACAAAAAAAATTTTTGTTGTTATTTTTACTTTTTTGAATTTGTTAATTATTCATTTAATTGCTGCTTTACTTTTAATGATAATTAATAATAAATATAAAAAAAATGCGTTTGCTATAAAAATTCAGTAATTTTGCACCCAAAGCATTGATTTTGAAAATAGAATAAAATTGATAAAAAAATTGATACAAATTTATCATAAAAAAAAAGTTTTTTTTTTAATATTTTCCCGAACTCAGATCGTCCGTAAATTACTTTTCGCTTAATTTTTGTTATTTTATTTTTCGTTTCCGATGCATTTCAATCGACTATGATTTTTTCTTTAAGTAAAATTTTCATTCAATATTATAGGTATATGTTCAATAAAAATTTTGAAAATTGTGTTATTGTATATTTTTGCTAAATTATATAGTTTATTATTTTCGCGTTTTTGACAGATTATCCTGGTCAATGCTACTACGAGGAACTGCGCCAACCGATACCCACGAATCAGTCCTACAAGCCGATAAACCGTGATGGTCGTTGTGAATCGATTTTCTGTCGCAAAGACTTTGTGCTCGAAATTCGATAGTAAGTGTTATTAAAAATTATTCCAAACCATTTATTATGCATACATTTATATAACCGCATGTATATATATATATATTTTATACGCAATATTCCGTTTCATACAGCCATTTCAAAGAGCGCAAATTTGGTTTGCATTTATTTTACTTTTATTTTCTTTCTCACCACAGCTGCGGCCGCCACAATCTGCAGCCGAACGCGACATGCGGCATCGAATCGGATATGCGGCGCGCATATCCAGCTTGTTGTCCGCGCTTAGTGTGTCAAACCGACAGCAATTTCATTTAATTTTTTAATTGCGACTTAATTGCTGAAACTTAATTCTTTCAATTATCCATTGACTTTGTTGTTGTTATTGTTTTAAATAGATGGTCACGTTTACAAATATATACAAGTATATGCGACATTTTTGAATTCATTAAAGAGATAGCTGTTTATATAAATTTTATTCGAGAATAAAATATTGAAAAATTAAATCAAAAGCAAAATAAAGCCAAATGAAATAAAAATACAAGTAATTAAACGCTTAATGACTTTCATATTGCAATTGAATACAGTTGCCGCCGAAAGTCTGGGTACAACACCTACCTGAACAAAAAATACAAGAAACAACGTTAACTTGGCATCGAAGCTACAATAAAGCCTTCACAATTCACATACAAGTAATTGATTTTAAACGGTCAATTTGTATGACAGCTATATGATATAGGGCTCCGATCTGAATAATATTTTCGGAGATTCCATTATTGCTTTAGATAATAATCCAGGCCAAATTTCGTTAAGATATCTCGTCAAATAAAAAAGTTTTCCATACAAGCACTTGCTACCGATTGTTCAGTTTGTATGACAGCTCTATGCTATAGTTGTCCGATAACGCCGAATCTGACAAATAAGCAGTTTCTGAGGGAGAGAAGGATGCGATCCAAATTTCAGAACGATATCTCAAAAACTGAGAGACTAAATCGCATATATATGGACAGACGGACAGGCTTAATCTAACTTAATCGACTCATCACACTGATCCATTACATATATGTACCCCGTAAGGGTATAAAAATGTGTATTATTACATACACACCTGCCCACTGAAAGCATTTCATATTTACTTAACATTTGATGAATACTCAATTTGAGCCGTTGCAGTGGTCGGCGCTGCATTGCTAATGCCTCTTCACTTTGTTGTTGTTGTAGGGTCTATAAAATTGTGCGCGAATTTGTTAAGCGCATCAATTGCAATCGAAGTGTCGACGCGTCACGAGCAATGAAACAATATTTGTTGTTATTATTGGCGGCTGTGTGTTTGTACGCCAGCAGCGAAGCCAGTGAGTAATAAAAAAACCGATTTTGAGAAAAAAAAAACGCTTTTGCATATTAATTTCGCTAGGGTCACCGCAGGCCTGTGGCTATACCACGCTCGATGGAAAAATGGTATTTTTACGTTATTTTCCCGGCGTGAAGGAGGGAGAGGAATACATCGATAACGGCAGTGGAGTGGATGGTTTGTGCTTGCAAAGAGCGGTGTGCCAGGAGGACTATTCTACAAAAGTGGATTCGTAAGTATTTACTATAAAGTTAACGGAAAGGTCGGTTGGGTGGGTCATACTGGCAAACAAAAATATTTTAAGAAACATGATCTGAGCAAAGAGTTTCTGATTTGCCACAGCGCTAAAAACTTTCATATATCAATAATTTTTTGCTAATCGATTGTCATTAATATTTTTTGTCGCAGTTGTAATGACTACAATGTGGACTGCAATAAACGTGAAAACGTCGAAACCACATTCCCAGCGTGCTGCGTAAAGTGTTAAATACCGAAAAGAGTACCAAATATAATAAATTGTGTCCAATCGTTTCTGAATATTTGGCCGTTGCCGATTTATCGGTCGAAACTAAAAACAAATGCAGATTGTCAAGCAATATTATATGAAATTATTAAAAATAAAGCATTTATAAATTTAATCTTTTATTTATTGAATTATTTTGGAATTGATCTTGTGCCTAAATCTAAAGACCACCCTTGACTATGACGTACAAAAAAACATTTGTTTATGTGCAGTATCAGCTATTAATCGATAGTAGCACAAAGTCGATAAATTACGATTGCATTCACTAGCAGCTAATAAGTAAGCAATAACAGTAGCTATGCAGATGTGTCACCTGCTACAAAGCATTTATAAACAAACGACTGTTTTATTGTAATTAGAGGAACCGGTTTGCTGAACAGGTCGAATAATAGATGCAATGAAGAGAGACATATCACAGCCGTTTGTGTGTAAAGCTCTGTAATCAATTAAATATTACTTTTTGAATAGAAATACCGTATAAGCAATAATAATAACAGTAATAATAAGATGCTAAATATAGACAGATGCTAGACTACACTTCCGTTTTAGCAAATGGTGGGCCACTATAGCGCTGAAAGCAAAATTTTCCATGATAAAAACACAATAATTTGTAAAACTTTTCAAAGCCCACTAAATGTAAAATTGACCCACCCCATTCAGCTTAGCGCTTCAAAATCGAAAACAAAACACCTTACGTCTCCTCATCAACAACTATTTATTGCATTCGTAATGTTCACAACAGTCCGGATAGGGTTTACTAAAATCTGTGGGGTGCCACTTTGAGTCCTCACAGAAACTGGGACGGAACGTGCGTGTACAATGATTGACACGTATGAGTGCTTCCCTCTCGCAGGTCAATTCGGCGCACAAGTCTACATTGGCTGGTTTGAGCGTCTCGTTCAGTTTGATGGCAAGCTGCAGCTCATTGTGGAAGCAATGACCCGGATTATCTAGTTAAATGCGTTAAGGAGTATTAGTGAAGATTGTTACCAACACAGTTCACGGCAGCTTACTTGGATCAGGCGAGTTGGGCACGTAGGACACTTGCTGCGCTCTCGCAACTACGCACAAAGCGAGGCTTATTACTGTTAACAATTTCATGTTTCAGCTGACTCACCGTTTGTTACACCGTTCAGGTCTATGCGTACGACTGCTTAGTAAGCTGGTTGTCGGACGACTGCTGTTTAACGCGACAAACTAGAAATTATTTATAATTTAAATTTCAAATGCGCATCTGCCGAAGGTGCGGCGAAAGATGCTGAATGGTTTTAGAAGCTATATAACGGGTGTTCCAAGTAGTGGTACTTTTTCAATAGCCTTTTTTCGACAGATCACGCCTGAGTCGTGCCAAGTTGTCATGTTATTTTTGTTTAGTATTATTTCGCATTTGGTCGTGCAAAGACTTACGCCTGAACAACGTTTACAAATCGTTCAACTTTATTACGAAAATTCATATTCTGCAAGAAATGTATTTCGCGCGCTTTGCTCAACTTGTAGTCAACATAATCGGCCTACTGAGCGTACTATACGCAGCACCATCACCCATCTTGAGATCCGGCATTCATTATTGGCTAATATTCGACTGAATAGAGCACGTCCAGCACGCAGTGAAGAAAATATAGCGGCCATAGCTGAGCGTGTACACGAAGACCGTGGATAGGCGATTCGGCGCCGTTCGCAGCAACTCGGATTGACGTCGGGAACGACTTGGCGCATTTTACGTCGAGATCTTGTACTGAAAGCGTACAAAATACAATGGATTTATTGAGAAAACACTTGGGTGAGCAGTTAATTTCATGTTTTAGGCCGGTCGATTGGCCACCAAGATCGTGTGATATCACACCGTTAGGTATTTTTCTGTGGGGATATGTAAAGTCTAAAGTCTATGCGGATAATCCCGCTTTGTTCTTGCAGCCAAACATCACGCGTGTCATTCACCAGTTGCCAGTCGAAATGCTCGAACGAGTCATCGAAAATTCAACTCAACGGATGGACCAACTGAGACGTAGCTACGGCCACTATTTAAAAGAGATAATCTTCAAAAAATAAATGCCAAAGAATGTTCTCTCGAATGATAATAAACATTCCCCACTAAATTTGCATTTTCTGTGCTTTTTTCTTTAAAAAAGTAGGGAACTTCGAAATGAATCACCCTATATAATAAAGACATTAAGGACAATGAATTAGCAATAATATGGTGGGAGGAAGGGGTTTGTTTACGATGTGCGAATTATACAATACAATAATGATTAAATACAAAATATGAGAATTAAAAAGTTATTAAAATAAATCGCTGGTTGATTAATTGAAAGTACCTAAACATGCAGTTCAACGACAATAAAGCAATCACATGGAGATATTGGTTGCCTTATACTAGAAAAGTTCTTGAAAAAAGCGAAATAAAATCTAGATGACTCAAATAAACAAAGGTTTTTAGGGGTAAAAAATAGATAAGCGTTTAGGTTAGCGATTTCAATGTGTAGAATGATAGCTGCTTTTCTTCGGATAGTCTTATTCTTAACGAACTAACACATTTCCTTAAAAAATTAAGACAAAATTATGTCGGCTGGAGGTAACCTAGTTCTTACTCTCACTACACCCGCCCTGCCATGACAGCTTTTAATTGAGTAAATTACCCGTTTCTCGCGATGTGAAGCAGCTAGTTAAAATGAATCGCTTTGAGGAAGTTAGTGCCTACTACACAAGGTTACTCTGTGTAAGGAAATGGGCACATGAACTTAAAAAAATACATAAGTATATTCAGATACCGTTATCAATTTGCACGCACGATCGGTTGCGTACTCTCATTAATATAACTTTCCACGCTTAAAGCAATAAAACATATACAGCTGTTTATAAAGATTATAACTTTTACAAAAGACAGTTACAGTGCGTCTTCACGTTCAATAATTGATTTGGTAACATGTTCTGTTACACGATTGACAACTGACTTCGGCTTTCGTTAAAACCGCATTATTTGCTCCCACTCTCAATTTACTACTGAGAAGACGCGTTGTCGCTTACTTGAATAAATCAGTTGCTTGCCAGATTTTACCAGCCGTTGACACTGAAAAATGCTTGTGTGGGCGAGCAGTTAGCGAGTGCTGCAATCGGCATTGTCCAATCGCACTCTGCAAGCGATCTATGCTGGTGCAACGAAATTCTCAAGCTTATCGGCGCTTGTAAATACTTACAACCATACGCGTGTGGCCAACGCTCGGCGGCTTCATGCAATCGCTTGGCGCAACAACAATAAGTGAAGAAAAAAATAATTAACATCACTTGAATTGCTCTCGTATTGCCAGGGAAAGTGCGTAAACAAATAAATCTGGTGCAAGTGACAGAAGGTTAACGGTTGAGGGCTCTTCATGGCGCTGGTGGCGACTTGTAAGAATTTCATAATACTCATAATTACAAATTGAATTTTTTTCCATCACTTAATTGAGTTGTTTGTGCGTGGGGTAGTTCGCTATAAAAGCAAGTGAAAAATTTAATTCGGGTTTCAGTTCGGTTTTTACTGTTTGAACGAAATCAGTTTGGCAAATGCAAAGATATCTTAGCATATATACTGTGTTGAATGAAAATTGAGATTATAAGCATCTGATAAAAAAAATTGAATACAAACTTTTATACAAAAAAAAAAATATAATAAATAAATAAAAAAAAAATATTGAAAAATTATTGTGACAAATATAACAGCCTAAGACTTCACGAAACGTATTCCAAATCTCAAAGTAATCCAGGAAAAATTTAAAATATTTCCACTGAAATGAAAACAACTGAATTCCTTTGTGTGCTGCTTCTGCTAGTTGTGCTCTGCAGTCCCCATGCTTGTAAGTGAAAAAACTGGTATTAACTGGCTCTATACGTAACCTAGATGATGTAGCGTTTTTGAAAATAATCTAGTATTTGTAATAGTGCTTTTACTTCCGGTTTCAGCGCCAAAGCAGTGTTAGACTTTAATATTTTACTACGCTGGAAGATTCTCAGTATTCGCCACCAGACCAGAACCTTAGCTTGGTCAGTATATAAATATCAATATGCTTAGTGGTTCGTTCTCAACCCTGGTAAGCGGTGCTTTAAATTAAAGAGTTTCGGTTTTGGTATTGTGCGTCCACATTCTTCTATTAGTAGTTACCATAAAATTCCACTCTGCTTCTGTTTGCTGAACCGCAGCTTCAGAGCTGAACATCTCAACGTATTTTTTCCTACACAACAGGCTTCAAATTTCTTACGTGTTTTTGAAAAAAAAAAAAAAAAATATGAGTCAGTGCAAGGTTTTCTACAGGCTTTTGGTAGGTCCTAATAACAGATAAAGGTTTCGGCTCCTTTTGATATTATGTCTTTTTCCCATTATTTCACTGCATCACAGAGAAAGCTTCTAATTAGAAAACTAATTCATGCGTTTCGCGCGAACAGGCCGATACTGAAATAGTTACCACAAAAGTGTACTAAGTTAACAGTGTGGATTCTTCTAGATTCTTCATGACCTGACATAAGTGGGAAAAATTTGGCCCCAACCTATTGAGAAACTTGCAAGAGATCGTTTCTTTTTTGCACCAAATTTTCATATAAACTCTATCCCAGGCGAACTTTAATTCTTTGATACAGCTGTTTTTCGGCAAAAGTCGTCATCGTACCAAAAATTCGTTGGCTTGAATGAAAGTCCTATTATAGCACATTATATATATGCTTAAGTATTTTTGTGAAGTAAAATTATCAGCAGTTTACAAATCTTCACAAATACTCCACAGCCTCAGTCAAGAGTTGCAGTTACACCGCACTGACCGGCGGCCCTCAAGTGGTAACGTACGATGCCGCCACAGATAAGAGCGTGGAATATGTGGATTATGGCAGCAATACAAATGGTATCTGCGTACAGCGCGCGCGGTGCAGTAGGGAATATGTGACGCAAGTGATCAAGTAAGTGCAGTGAAGCCAAAGTGAAAACATTGTTAATTGAAAAAAAAAAATTAATTAAATGAAAATACTGTAAACATATCAATCAGATTTATCAGTAGCGTTTCAAAGACAGCATGAAAGTAATTTATTTGCTATTTTGTTTTACAGATGCAGCGATCTGCGCATAACTTGTGAAAATCGCAAATTATTTGAGGGAGAGTTTCCGGCCTGCTGTGTGAAGTGTTGACATAAGAAGAGAGCAGATGTTTAAGTCTTCACATAGTAAGAAGAAAATTATAAAAATGGAAACAATAAAAAATGTGAAAGAAAATTATTTATTAAAATTATTTGCAAAAATTTTAGTTAAGAGCGTGTTGGTACTTTAGGGTGCTAAAAGCCGAGCCGAGCGCATTTTTCCATTTACGCATTATGCGAATTTACGCTCGGCTTTCAGCGTTCACACTACCCGCAGGCTTGGGCCAAGCGCACAGCGCAGCACAGGGAACTTTTTTTTCGTGGCTGCTTTTACTTCTCACAACACTGTATTATAGCATAGCTGCCAAAACTAGGGTACAGTGTTCCACCACAGACAACTATGGCTGCGTTCACTGCAAAGCAGGCAGCCCACTGTCATTGGACTGTCAAACTCGCGCGCCACCTGTTCCACACTGGTGTTGTTGTTTTTGCACATTCATTCGACTTCCAGTCTACAAGCGAAACGAAGTGCAGACGCGAGAGAAACTGACCTGCGCAGCTGAGCGGCTCGTGCCAGTGTTGAGTATCCACTTTTGCAGTTGTTGTTGGCCTTTTTGTTGTTGTTGCTGCTGCCGCTGCTGCTGCTAATAAAATTTTTAACATATTACTATGCCGCCACTATGCTACCTTAGCGTCTGCGTAGGTGCGTGCACGGAGCAGGGGCCGCTCAATGAACTGAATGCTACGCCGGATGCCACAGGCGCTGGCGGCGACGTGGAAGTTGTGAGCGCCGGCTGCACCGGGCGGAGATTACATCTACCATATGAACGTTGCACAACAATATGAGGCGTGTATTTTAGGTAAACATGTTGCCTCGCTGCGTGCCACTAACCGCGCTGGCCGTGTCGCGTTGCCGCTGTGCAGCAAAAGTGTGCCAGCATTTTTGATTGCCTGCAATTTGAGGTGCAAATGCGCAGCGGAAATAAACGAAATGACAATGACGCCGGCACCGTTGCAAGCGCCACCGCAAATGCAATGCATACGGAAATGAGTGGTGATAACAAAAGCAGGCAATAAACTGTAAAAATAACGGTAACTAAATTAGTGCCGGATTTGCAATCTTACACACAGCTATGTCTCTGTGTGTGTGTCAGTGCGGTGCACAATTTTCGGTCTGCCTGTATGCACAGCAACGCCGTATATCTTTATATTTACCGTTATTTATGCAAGTGCGTGTGTGAGCAGCCATCATTTCATTGTTATTTTAATGTCTTGCCACTTTGTGTTGCGCAGTTGACCAACTTACAAAGCCATCGACTAACCTAGCAAAGCGCCACTTGCAGCGCTCTGCGCTTCCTCTGCCCACCTGCGTGCCCAGCGGCCGACCAACCAAACAACCGAACAACCGACCGACCTGACCAAGTTTTTCATTTTTAATTTTTGCCTTAAGAGTTCATAAATGGACAACTTTTGAGCGCAGGCCGGTGTATGGGCACGCCTAAGAGAGAGCCAGTTTAAAATGTAGACACAGTGGGCTCAATATGGTACAGAGAGCGCTGTGTCAGAAATAAATCTGGCTGTTGTCGTAATTCATAAACGTCTAGGGCCTTAAGATGCCAAGTTTCAGTAGGGACAGCTTGTCTTGCTTGTTTCACCAAATAAACGTCAGATGGCAACTGTCACATGGATGTCAGTTAAACGTCAGACGGCAGCTCTCAAATATATGACAGATTGATGATTATGCAGCGAAGCAAGTAAAACTGTACCTGGTTTGACGAGATCGAACAGACGTCGTATGAAGGAGATAAAGGCCTGTTAAGGATTTAGTAGATTTGTGAATCCTAAATCATCTCAAGACTTTTGACTCCACAGAAGTGATGCAAAATGTTGAAGTTATTAATGTAAAATCATGGATCATAAGATGCTTGAAAATTGATATTTGCTATTTCTGAAATAAATTTCGTGAGAAGCGAAGCAAGCAGTATAATGAACGCTAAACTGTGAAGAGCCAATTAGTTCTTTTGAAATATTAGAAGGGACGAAATTAGAGAGGCGAGTGTGATACTGTGCTAAACGAGCAACTAAAAAAGCGAAATGAACTGCTAAACTAAATGGGTGTAAGTAAGCTTACATATTTGCGATGAAGATCACAACTTTAAAGCACTGCTATTTTGGTTGATAACTCGTAAAGGACTAAGCAAACTTGTCGCAACATAATGAAGCAGAGTTTTTGAGGTTTCAGGTAGGGCGCAAATACATTTTGAAAACCATTCCCTCGATTGACGACATATTACATAACAAAACACTTCAAGCCGAACTCAACTCCACGAAAGGCAACACTACAATATTGCTGAATATAGAGCCGACATTCGAGAAGCGGACGGAAAGACTCGCTTGGAGTTCTACCAGTTTATTGTGTTACCACTGCCTCACTGTGCCATTTTACCGCACAACTGTGTGTTGCGTCAACTGAAAAGCAAACACCCTTAACGTTTTGCCGACCTTTCGAGTGGTGAGGCGCACACAAGTGCGTGGGTGTAAGCACCGCGTGGAAAGGAGTTTGGAGCGTATAACCCGCGATAGCCAAGAGTCAGTGGCTTGTAGCCGGAGGTGAGAACTTGCGACTTACAAACCATGTAATGGCAATTATGGCTGTTGTCGTTTAAATGTGATGCATTGCCGTTGTTGTTGTAAGGACACATATTTTTGTTATTACATTGTGTTGTCGGCGCGGATGTGGGGAGCTTGTTGCTGAGGCGAACGCGTTTTATTGTGAAATTTTTTATTTATAGGAGCCAGTTGTTGCTGTGTCACGCTGTAACTCGCTGTGTTGTTGTGGTCATGTAAGCAGGAAGCAGGCAGTTAACTGCTGTCGCTGTTACAATGAAAGTGTGGCAGTTACAATAAAATTGTCTGATTTTCGTTTTTCGCTTTTGTGCAACGCCAGCTGCGTATGTAGGGCGGAATAGCGTTGAGTTTTAAATAAAAAGTTAAGTGCAACAACAAATTAATAGCATGCACAGTAAGGGGAGTGCAAATCGTTCCGACTTTCTTTCGTGCCAAGTTGCATTTGGGCTTTCTTGCCACACGCCTTGCCCGCTCCACACTTTTTGTGTCACTTTCACACTTTTCATTTCTGGCACGACTTTTTTTTTTTGCCGCAGCTGATGGCATGCTGATGAAATGTTGTGCCTTGTGTTCGCTGTTTTTTTTTGACTGTGCTGAATATCTGCTCGCATTTGAAATGCTTGAATGCGTGCTTGTACTTTGGTTGGCACATGCTTGCGTGTGTGTGTGTGTATGCGCCTGGATAAGACGCTTTGTTTATGTCACTTCTCTACAGTCATTGTGCTCCAAAGTACAGGCACAAGCACACGTTCAAGCATAAGCTCAAGCGTAAGCACAAGCACTTACCCATAATAGTGTTTCCTATTTCTGTTTTTGCTCTTGTTGTTGTTTCTATGTTTTTATGTATTTATTTATTCATTTATTTGCTCATTTGTTCTGTTGGAGCTGCCATGTTGTTCACTTGCCCAACTTCCTGTGTGTCAGCGCATGCATGCCATTTTTCATATTTGCTTTATTGTCTTGAGTGTTGGCATTATGTCGCTGGCAGACAACGAAAACTTGGTCAAATGTGTGCCGAAGCGAGTCGAGTGCGGCGCTATGTGTGCTCCCATACATATTTGATATTTAGAAATTGCTCTTAAAATAATGGCGAGCTTTCTTCGCAAAGTGCAAAAGTGTGCATATTTATAACTGTAAAATGGCACATCTTCATGTAAATTGCTTCATCATTCCAACTCTTTGTCATTTCTATAGAACAGCTATATTTGTTATGAGTTCAGAAAATTTGTGTGAAAATGGACACTAAGAAGTCCTGCAAGCGCTCCTAGACTTACTTGTTGATCGATATAAATCATTTTCTAACGGCAGTTCCGTTGTTCAAAAGCGCATGTGAGCAAACTATTACACCATCACGAAACTTTTCGGATATATAATTGTCTTCAATAGGAAGATCGATAGCGCTCAAGTTAGCGTTGCTAATTCATATGGCTAACAGCAGCGATTCTCTACAACGACACAGTTCTCTGCTGCACGTACATTTCCCACAACGCTGTGCTAGTCCTAAGTAGTTAGCGGGCCGTTTGCAGCTTTTATGGCTGTCAATGTCAATGCGAACACGTAAGCTTCCAAAACTGGCACCAAATAGTTAGAATAGTGTTTGAAAAGTATAGAGACAGCTTCACAAAGTCTATCAGAAACCATGTTTCATTGATTTTGGTGATAAGGGGTAAGGGGCGTGTGGTGTTTTTAATTTTCTGATATGAAATTATTTTTTTCGAACGAATTAATGAATATCTTATCGTATTACGATACGCTTAAGATTAAATGTTAAGCTGTTTAATAATGTACAATCTGGATTAATGAACCAAAGTAGTATAATTTTTTGTTTCAATTAGAAAAATTGGTGATATTTGCCGAGACCCCTCTCTCCAACTAAATCAGATGAGACCCCCCCCCTCTTAAACATCCACGTAATTTATGGACGCCCTCTAACCGAAAGACCGTAATTATCTGAATGGCTCTCGATCTTCCACTATGTTTCGAAAGCAGTTGAGTGGCTAGTTCGAGCTAGTCCAGAAGTATGTGAGCGTGGTTACAGCCTTCTTAGCAGCTGGTTAACTTCAGCAGGATTCTTATTGTCTCAATTATAGTGAAGTAGGCAGCTTTACATACAGTTCTAACAACAAAATGTAGAGAGGTCTACATCTTAATAGACGGTTTACAAAAAATGTCAGACCTATTGTTTCAGAGAACTTATCATAAGATCAACGTGCGAATAGAAGCCAAAATAGTCAGAAAATTTCCTTATTTAAACTGTAGGAAGCCTATTTTCTAGCAAATCTGCAACGAAATAGTTTATTGATTGTCGCATAGGTGCTATATATTGTAGTTCACAGATATGGATGGTTGATGCGATATCGCTGTTTTCATCATAATGTTCATCAGTTTAAGCTATAGGCAATGGCTTAGAATAATTCATATTTATGACTCAGCCTATTAGTACAGTGACATAATTCGACACGGATCATTATTTTCAAAATATTTTCTAATTTAATAGAACAGGTTGATAAT